TGGGAAGCTGTCTTTCTTCTTCCTCACAGGTGTGTCATGGATAGCTTGGGCTGCTTCTAAAATTTTCTCACAGTTTTAGAGGTGAAGTCCAAGATCAAGATGCTGATTCTTTTTCTTTTTTGAGAAAGTCCATTTCCTGACTTGTTTGAAGGCTATGGCCATCAAACATGTCTTCCCATGATCAAGCGGAAGCTCTTGACCATGAACCATTAATGGGCTTTCTGAGGTTCTGATTTACACATTGATTTCATTAGTGTCTCACCCTTGAAATCATATTTGACCTTAGTTATTTTCTTTTTTAAAATTTTATTTTATTGTAAAGATGCTGTATAGAGAGGTTACAGAAGTAGGGTAATGAGTACATTTCTTGTCAAATATTTTTACCTCCTCCTTTCTTTTTTCCTTCTATCCCTTCCCTCCCCCACTCCCCGCTTCCCTGTGGAAGTTGTAAAGATCATTTCCAGCATAGTATCTTGTGAGTATCATTGTTGTAATGGGTCATCATGTGCTCTAGTTTCGGCATTTTGTTGTTCCCCTTACTCTCCCCACATTAGATAAACGTATATACAATATGCAGGGTACCGAAATCAAATACAGTGACAACAGGGGATATATTATAGAGGAATAGCATACAAAAGAAACAAAAAAACCAGTAGATTAAAACAACAACAACAAAGAAAAACCTCTGTGTCCATATCTTGGGGTTCATTTCACTTAGCATCATCTTATATGTTCATATGTACATAGCTTTTGAGCTTTTCCGTGTATCTGATAAGATTATCCTAGACATATACTGGTTATTGCAAATAAGGGAAACCATGGGACCTATATTTCTTTGGATCTGGCTTACTTCACTTAATATTATTTTTTCTAAGTCTTTCCATTTCTTAACAAATAGGCGGTGCCATTCTTTCTGATGGAGGCCTAGAATTCATCTATCTATCTATCTATATATATATCTCACATTTTTTAAATCCATTCATCTACTAAGGGGGATCTGGGTTAGTTCCATATCTTAGCTATGGTGAACAATGCTGTGATAAACATAGTTATGCTGGTAGCTTTAGTTTGGCCTTGTTTGTAATCATTTGGGTAAATGCCCAGAAGTGGGATTGCTGGGTCATAGGGGAGCTCTATGTGCAGTCTTTTGAGGAACCTCCATACTGCTTTCCAAAGTGGTTAAACAAGTTTACACTTCCACCATCAGTACAGTAGGGTTCCCTTTTGGCTACATCCCCTCCAGCATCTGTTGTTACTGCTTATAGCCATTTTAACTGGGGTGAGGTGGAATCTCAGTGTTTTGATTACATTTCTTTTATGGCCAGAGAAGTTGAGCATTTCTTCATGTGTCTATTGGCCATTCTTATTTACACTTCAGAGAAGTTTCTTTTTAAGTCTTTAGCCCACTTATTAATGGTGTGGTTGTTTCTTTGAGGATTTGTTTTTGGGGGAGTTAATTTTTTGAGTTCTAAGTGTATTTTAGATATGAGATCCTTGTCTTTATGGCTAGTGAAGATCATCTCCCAATTCCTGGGCTTTCTATTGATCTTGCTGGCTATGTCCTTTTCCATGCAGAAGCTCTCCAGTTTAATGCAATCACATTTGTCCAACCTTTCTTTGGTTTGTTGTGTTTCTGGGTCTTTATTAAGGAGCCAAAGAGCCCTAGAGTTTCTCCTATTCCTTCCTGTAATGTTTTTAGGGTGTCTTTTTACCTCAAGGTCTTTAATCCACTTGGAGTTGATTCTGGTGCAGGGTGATATGCAAGGATCTAACTTTAGTTTTCTACAGATGTTTAACCAATTTTGCCAGCACTATTTACTGAAGAGGCTGTCTTTTCTTTCATTCTATTTTTTTGGGCTCCCTTATCAAAGACTAGGTAGCTATATTGACCTTAATTACTTTCCTGTCCCTATCTCCAGTACACTCCACTGAAAATTAGGACATATGAACTTTGAGAGAGAGACATAATTTAGTCTATGGCAGTATTCTTTCCCAGTTAAGAGTTTAACCAAGGGAGGAGAGATGCTTTGATTGACCAAGAACAGCATTCCTTTAATGAATTCTTTCGATAGTCAAGTTTGAAGTCCTGCTTTTTAATTTCAGTATAAGCAGAGGCAGAATCCCAAGGGAGGGCTGATTCTGCCAACTGTTCCCAGAGTGGACTAATGGATTATCCGAATCAGTACTGATTTATTTGGTGTCTTGTATTTGAACTAATGACTTTTAGCTTTGTCACTTTATTAAAGCAGGGTAGACATTAAGCATGAAGCCTTCTTTTGTATCTGTGGGGAAGGCAAATACCCCATGTCCATAGTTTCAAAGGAGGGACCCTGTGAGATGACTCAGAATGATAACAGTAAATCATTTCCCCCTAAAGTCTTTAAGCAGCTTTAAAATCTGAGCACTTGTCTCGATTTCCTTTTCCATATAGAAAAAGAATCAAAGAAAATGTCTAGGATAATCTTACCAGACAAGCAGAAAAGGTCAAAAGCTATGTACATATGACCATATAAGATGATGCTAAGCAAAATGAACCCTAAGATAGGGACACAGAGGTTTTGTCTTTGTTGCTATTGTTTTTAATATACTATGTTATTTGTTTTGTTTCTTTTGTATATTCTTCCCCCATGGTATAACCCCTGTTTTCACTGTATTTGATTCCAGTGCCCTGCATCTTGTATATACATTTTTCTAATTTAGGGAGGGGAAGGGAAATAACAGAATGCTGAGACAAAGATACAGGCTGACCCATTGTAAAAATGAGATGTACAAGACGCTATGGTGAAAATGAACTTTACAACTTTGGGGGTGGGGTGGGAGGGAGGAGTTGGGGAGGTGTGGAGGGAAGGGATGGTAGGGGAAAAACAAAGGAGGGTGTAGCAATGCTCCAGAGGAAATGCACTCATTACCTTACTCATGTAACTGTAACCCGTCTGTACAGTATCTTTACAATAAAAAATATATATTAAAAAACGATCAATAACAAACCTCTCTAACTTAAAATACTGTGTGCTATGTGTCTTTATTAAGGAGCTAAGGAAAGCTATGGGAAATATTGTTATAAATTTAACAATATACAGGGCTGGGAAGGTGGCTCAGTGGTAGAGTGCTTGCCTTGCAAGCATGAAGCCCTGGGTTCGATTCCTCAGCACCACATAAGCAGAAAAAGCCAGAAGTGGGGCTGAGGCTCAAGTGGCAGAGCGCTAGCCTTGAGCTGAAGAGCTGAGGGACAGCGCCCAGGCCCAGAGTTCAGGCCCTATGACTGACAAAAAAAAACATAACAAAAAAACAATCAATTTAACAATATACAAATTCCCTGAAAGGATAGAGGTGCTCTTGAGTCTAGACTCCCCCATCAGCAGCAGCTGGTCAAGACACTGCTTAGCCTACCACTTCAGAGTTGTCAGCTGTTCTGTATCTATTCAAAATAGTTTCTATTCTGGTACTCTGGTCTGATTGGGCTATTAACATCCAATAGTTAAATACAACTCTCAGGGTACTCATGCATTGGACCAGAGACAATCTCAGCAGTCCTATTAGCCATAGCTTTATGATGATATAAATCTTCATAAAGGAATTTAAATGAAAAGAATTTAAAGGATGTTGTTCTTTAAAATAATCACTGGATGATGACAGCCCAACCCAGCTGAGCCCTCCAATGACTTGCACTTTGGTCTTCAGCCATTATCAGGATTTATATTAAAATGCCCTGACACTTACTGTTGTCTTTATTGTAGGATATTATTAAGAATGCTCAGTATCAGTGTCTTTCAGATTTTCTAACGTATCAGAGTCAGTTGAATTATTTTCAAAAGATGCTGCTGACTTTCAGACTCATCTCAAGCCTATTCAATCTGAATTTCTGGCCAAGAGGGTAGCACAGTTTGTTTTTCAAATAATTTCTGCTTAATGGAAACTGGTAGAGTTGATAGAGATGTGGAAAATTTGGTACAGTTTTATATATACCTTTTAATTGGCACCTCAAATTTACATATTTTTGAGGCCTCATGTGATAATTTCACCTTGTGTACATCATCACAGTGTCCTTCTTAAGAGACCCGTGAAAGAAAATCCTCTCTAGGTCACAGTTCCATCACCAGGGACCTTACTTCTGGGCAAATGATTTATTTTTATATCCTGGATGTCGCAGTTGACAGAGCAGGTTGTGTCCATCTTTGCACAGTGGATGAAGCATAGAGTTAATGTGAATCCTGCTAGCTAATGTTTAGTGTAAAACTGCACTCAGAAGGCCACATGAGGTGGCTTTCCTCTCCTTTTTCTTATTCTCCTTTTCTTTTTGCTCCTAAATGGTTACCAATTTACTTTAAGTTCAATTTACTTTAAGTTTTGTTTTATACCATGTATTTTTTTTGTGCCTGGTATTAATCTCTTTCTGAAACAAAATGTGACAAAATAATTATGACTAGAATATTTGTATAGATCTTGATTCTTTTTGAATTGGGTGTTTGTATTTATTATTTTCCCATAGGATAATCAAATTCATGGAAGCAGAGTAGAAGGGTAGCTGCTGTGGGTAAGGGTGTGTGAGTATGTGTGGGGAAAATAGGATGCTATTATTTACCTAATATGAAGTTGTAGTTTTATAAGATGAATAAATTCTACAGATCTATTGGAGGTGACCTTGCCTATAATTAATGATACTGTATTATACCCATAAACATTTCTGAAGAGGGTGGCTCTCATATTAAACATTCTTTTTTTTTTTTTTTGGTCTGTCATGGAGCTTGAACTCTGGGCCTGGGCGCTGTCCCTGAGCTCTTCAGCCCGACTAGTGCTCTACCACTTCAGCCACAGCACCACTACATTAAACATTCTTTCAACAGTTAAAACAACCCCAAAAGTTGGAATGATGTGGCAGAAATCACACTATAAACATGTGGAAGATGGTGCCATTATTCTCTTGTGTAGTCACCTAATTGTCCTTTAGGGACTGTGGGCAGAATGGGGGTGGATATTACTTTGTTTCCATAAAACACAAACAGAGTCTTCTAAATTTTATTTAGAATGATATCAACATGGTAAAAATACATCCGTGATACACATGAGAAAGAATTTGATTTCTTAATAAACTGAGTCTTCAGGGTACACAAATTTACTCTGCCTGTGCTCTGCTGTGTGTATATCCTGCCATTTCTCTGAGAATATCATGGGGAAAAAAAATGAAGCAAGAACCTGGCAGATGTGAGAAAGTCATTTCAGTTTCAACGTGCATGAGAAGGGGCAAGCTTGCTGGTGATCCAAGCCTGGTATTTCTTGGTTAGCAAGGTGTAGATTCCAGGCTTCTTGGCAATACCACATTTATGACCTGCAGAGACTATAGCATGGAAGACACCTTTGCAGATCAAGGGGCCACCTGAGTCACCCTGGAGAGAAGAAAATGAGCAGATACTTGTGAGAAGCTGTTGAGATGTTTCTGTCACCAACTGTTGATTGTCCAAGTATTTTATTATATTTTTCTTGGCATAAATTAATTGTACAGTGGTTTCACTGTGATATTCAACACATGCATAAAATATACTTTGATCAAATTCATCCCATCTTCTTTCTTTCTTAACCCTTCTTTCTCCTCTACTTTTGAACAGTTTTCAGTGAGCTTCAATGTTATTTTCATACATTTGGTTATGTTGAACCCCCATCATCCTCTGTCTTCCATATATCCCTTCTATTGGTTCCCCTCCAAACTGCTTTTCTTTATAATCAGGTCATTATTTCTAGATCTAGAGTTTACAGATGAGTGAAAATATGTGATATTTGTCTTGCTTGGGTTATTTAACAATCTTCAGTTCCATATATTTTTCCGGCAGACAACATATTCTTCTTTATTGCTGAAGAATACTCCATTGTATCTATTTACCACATACAATAAAGATGCATGCACACCCACCTTTACAGCAACACTATTCACAATTACCACACTATGGAATTAGCAGAGGTACACAACAATAGATGAATGGATCCAAGTATTGTTACCTGGGCCTTTGTGATCTGAAAAGTACCAGATACTGCCTCTTATTCATGTAGGTTCTCTGTATGTTTAGTAGAATGTTTCTGTCTGTTGTTCTCTTTGTCTCTGTCTCTATGACTTTGTCTATGTTCACTTTATGTCTTTGTTCTGTCTGTATCCATGTGTATGTGCACATACCTTCCTTTGGTAATCAGTGTCTACAGAGATTTATTTGTTAAAGAATAGGTGGGTCTATTATGAAACTATTCATTGAAATGAAAATCTCCATTTCATTTTGGTGTTTATGAGCCTACAATAAAGTTGAGAACAGCAGAAAAGAATGGCATAGTATAGTAAATGACTATATGGCAGGGGCTGTGTCTTTTTTTGTATCTTTTTACTTTTTGTTTTTTTTGCATCCTCAGATGGTAGATGCAGCGCTATGCATGTATTCTGCATTTGCCAAATGAGATGGTTTCTGAGGACCCGCTCAAACAACAGAACAGGTAACTCAATTCTGTCACATGTGAACAAGTTTGGCGGGGATAGTATAAACTTTCAGGCAAAAAGCCATTTTTCATCTGTGAAGACCTGACTCAGCGGCCAGTCACATGGCAAACTGCAGGGCCTTTAGGCCTGCTGGCCGTGATCACATTATCAGGAGGATAACAGCCTTGGAACACTGTAGATTCTTAGGACTGAGGAAGTCATTATAGAACCCTAATGCTTACTGAAATAGGAGGTGACTATTGCACTCTTATTTTTTAAAAACAAGTAACCTACCGGTACTGCATTTATCACCTATAAACATGTACCCAGTGTTTTTTCTTACTATTGCTATGAACTAAAGGCTTAAAAAATAATGATCTTTGTTCCTTTTTGTCAGTGCTATGTGGTCTGAATATTTGTATCTCCTACCTCCAAAGGACATGGATGTTCAAGTACTCCTTCGAGGATGGTGGTAGCAAAGGGGGGAGGGGCTATGGGAGGAGCTCTCATGAATGGGAATAGGGCCTTTATTAGAGTCCTGAGAGAACCCCACCTTCCTCCAATGGGAGGTTGGAGTGAAAAGAAACTATCTATGAAGCAGAAGGAATCCCTCATAGACATCGCTCTGCTGGCATCTTGATCTAGACTTCCTAGAACCCAGAACTATGAAAAATAAAGTTCTGTTATAAACCACCTAGTTTGTGGTATTTTGTAATAGTAGCCAAAATAGTCTAAGATAGTCAACATTATTTAAGAAACAAATATTGCGTATTTGAGCCTTTTGCATTTGAATTTTAAAAGACCTCTCTACTGATTAAAGGGTGATTCTTTCTTGGGTAAGTAAAAGTCCTCTCAGGACTGGTAGTCTTTCTAAGGATGGTCAACCTCCCATAGAAAGCCTGTAACAGTAGTCTCTTACCCTAACTACCACTCAATGAGTGCTTCTGAAGCACCAGGGAAAGTTCTTCCTATTGACAGTGGTAGAAGAGAGAACACTGGCTGGGGGTGGAGAATGAAGTTTTGGAATGGAGGTTTCCTATTCTCCAGGCGTCTCTTCAGTGTTCATGAACAGGCAGAGAGCAGTTCCAACAATCTGAATGAAGTATGAATGAGAACTCTTACCTGGCAGGAATCCTTCTGGCCTCTCACATCTCCCGCACATATCATGTCTTTAGTTATAACAGGATTGTGGTTGTAAAAGTTTTGGCTGTTGCACCGTTTTCGACTTATGACAGTAATGGTGACTTCTTGCAGGGTATCAGAGATGGTTAACGAATCTGGGTTGGTGGATCCCCAGCCAGTAACTTGGCATTTGGCTCCATCTCTAATATAGTTTTTGGATCTTAGGGGGAGTAGCTGGACATGCTTGTTGAGTTCTGCAGCTGTGTGAAGCTGATAGGTGGAAAAATGAGTAAAGTATCATCTTTTTCAGCAACATTCCATCATTACAATGCATTATGTGTGTGTTCCCTGCCTTTGGAGGGCCTCCCATTCTCTTGAATCTACTCTGATGGGGGCCTACAGCTAGATTTGTGATCTTTGCTTTTCTGAACAGGCTTTGCAATCCCTATGGAGCTCACTGATGATTAGGGAGGGAGAATGTGCAGAGCAGAAAAAATTCTGTCCAGTCTCAAGCAAACTGGCCTTTGCCCTGCATTGGGTGGCTTTCTGTGGATTGACAACCCTAGGTCTTGACATTGAGGGCTGGGCTGTTTCCTGTTGGATAGAACTCTGGAGTATGGTCTAGACTGCATTTGGACTATCAAAGAATGGTCTAGACTAGGTTGTAACTCACTTCTGAGCCTGGAAGTCACTTGGTTGGCTCTTTTGTATAAACAATTGCTGCATTTTTCATGGATAATGAGAAAAACATTTGGGAGAAGAGAGCTTTTAACGTGAATTCCTGGGCCTACTGGACTAGTCTCCTCCTACATGTGTGAGCACCAGAGTTGGTTTTCATGTCTAAAACATAGTTTTGATCTATTTGCGATATGTTATTCTTTCTTCTAAGAAAGTATATGGAATAACATACAAAATAATATTATATGCATTCAAACATGGAAAGTTGCTAATCAAATCTTTCCAAGTAGCTAATTAACTAACTAGGTCATGCTGTATAGAATGTAATACAAATGGAAGAAAATCAATGTCACATACCTTTATCAGCATGATATCATTCGACTTAGCTTCTGAGGGCAATCTTGAGAATGGTATGAATTTTTTTATCCCAAATGTTTGTTTGGAGGGCTCATTCTTTGAAAGAGAATGTGCTCCTAAAACCACTGCGGGGGTCTGGCCATTGGTAAACCTACTAAATGCAAAGAGAATGGATATAATGCAATGATTTCCGAATCCTCTGGTGTGAGCAGACATGGTAGAAATACACATACAAAATCAGAGAGAAATTCAAAATGATTTGGTAAACCAACAGAGGTGTCATTTGTTACACCAAAAATGAACGACATACATCAAACTTGAGCTCATTTACATGAATATAACAGGAAATTATATTCTTGAGTTATAGTTGAAGATTTATACCAATTACCATTAAGCATTAAAAAAATTAAGTAGTTGTACAAAAGAATTGCCATTTAGCAAGTCAGCTGATAAATACAATTTATCTTTATCAGTATCACCCCTTTCAACATCCCTACCCACTCTCTTCCCCACCCCTTCCCTCACAATTGTTCATTTCATAGGATATACATTGGATTCTTGTGTTGAAACATTTGTATGCATATTCAGAAATGTCATGATGAACACCCTTACTATACAATTTAATATACGCTATTAAACAAAGAAATAATATATACAACAAAATATTCTGTTTTTACCCTTTTGAAGTATATGTTTAGTATCACATTATCTACATTTATATTGTTGCTTGTGATTATCATTCATCTCCAGAACTTTTCAATCTTCCAAATATGAAGTGTTTCAATAATGAAGGTAAAGGCTTAGCTCTACGTTTGCTTGTCTGTCTGTGGAGAACTCCACTTCGCAGCACTAGGCTGTGACACAGCACTGAAATAAGCCCAAAGCCCTGTCCCCGAATTAGAAACACGAAAGGAAAACTTCCGGAGGTCCTGAATACATGCTAAAACAAAATGAAGATACAGCAAGGCTGTAGCCACCAGTAATTCCATTGCGGAGATTTATAGAGTGTAAATTGGAGAGTCAGGTGAGGAAATACTTGTTTGTTTTTTTTTTTAATTTGTAAATCCTTGACTGTACACGGCTTTACTATGAGTGTTTCAGTAATGATACTGCAACTGATCTGGTTGTCTGTGTATCTGATAAAATTACATTTATAGCCATGAATACAACTAGAAGTGATTATTTGCCGGTGGGGGTAGGGGGTGGGAGATTTTGGAAACCTGTGTTTGTAGAAACCACCTTAGAGCCTCTCTTGTAAAAACAATTATATTTCTTCATTTACATATAACTCTTTGCTACTCCATCAAGACAGAGTCCAATGGAAGCACTCATGTATACAGATTAGTAGAGATTCTTTAGACGATATGAAGGGCAAGAAGAGAAATGGGAGAAATGATTGTTCAGGTTTGGAGGATTGGCACATGGCAGGCCTGTGATTGCCTAAAAACTTTCTTGGTTTTCACCAAAAGGGTTTATTTTGGGAATTCTAGCTCTATCTGTTGGAATCTTAGCCTATTGTGAAAGAGTGGGATGAAATTTCTCATAGGGTAAGGATTGGAGCTCTTAAAAATGGATCTAAATTCAAGTTCAGTGTACTCACTAACACTAAAGCTTTGGGGGTAAGAATAATATAAAAGTTGCAGGATTAACGCTCTAACAGAAAAGTGAGGAAGCATAGAAATAACACCCAGGGAGGCTGTGAGGTACAAACGTGGAGTGTAAATTCTGATGGAGGAGGTGCTGAGAAATGTCTAATCTTCTTTCATCTTTTATTCATTTTCTTGACTAGCAATTGCTTTTGAAATATTTTTTTGCATATTTTTGTCTTCCCTGGGTCAAGCTAACACTCAAACAACCAAAGCATTTCTGAATTTACAACTCTACAGACCCTTCAACTGTTATCTGTCTTATTATAGTCAAGTTTTCTGGCCAGGCATATGTGGAATTACCTGAGTTGTAAGATTCTACCTTTTTAGTTAAACCTAGATGTGAACTCACGGAGAGAAGTAACAATAGCAGAGTTACTTATTTGTACAACACAGGGATCTCCAAGAATAGTTTTTAGAACTATTTTAGAATCACCTGGAAGTGTTTGTTTAAAATGGAGCTTCCTAGTTGGGTTACTGATGGCTCATACCTGTAATCCTAACTACTTAGGAATCAGGAGGCCTGGTGTTTGAGGCCAGCTTAGGCAAAAACTTCATAAACCCCTCTTCTCAAATACAGCTGGATGCAATGATGTATGTCCAGCCACACATGAAGCTGAGCTCAGGTTTGTGGTTCTAGATATGACTGGGAAATAAAAGTTGGGAGATACCATCTCAACAGAAAAAGCATGGCACTGTGGTGTATGCCTGGAATCCCAGAAATGGCATGAGGTATAAATAAAAGGATTGTAGTTCAATTTGGCCTGGGCAAATGTGATACTCCTATCTCAAAAATAACCAGAGTGAAGAAGGCTGGAGGTATGGCTCAAAGGATAGAGCCTGGCAAGCATAAAGTCTTGAGTTCAAGTCCTAGTACTGTCAAGGTAAGGGGAGGAGCTTCTTGTGTTCCATCACAGCCTTATCCAGAATGGAAATACATAGAGAGTGAAGCCAGAGTATTGTTTATAGCAAGGTTCTTCTTTCATTGTCTGCTGGAATTGTCTGTAAACATATCAATGGAGCATAACCACACCCATCTCAGTGTTAAGGCTATGGGCTATTTGTCACTTATAAGAGTGGTCCAGGGCTGGGAAGTTGGCTCAGTGGTAGAGCATTTGCCTTGCATGCCAGAGGCTCTGGGTTCGATTCCTCAGCACCACATAAGCAAAAAGAAAAAAGCCGGAAGTGGCACTGTGGCTCAAGTGGTAGAGTGCTAGTCTTGTGCTGAAGAGCTGAGGGACAGCGCCCAGGCCCAGAGTTCAGGCCCCACGACCGGACCCAAAAAAAAAAAAAAAAAAAAAGAAGAGTGGTCCAGGTGACGCAGCTCACACACTGGGGAATTAGGACCCAAACCCAGCATTTGTGACTCCAAATCTAGTGCTCTTTCCTTTGCTCTTAGCCCTGTATCAAGTCTTCCTGAGTATTTTATTTCTTGGTCATCTTGATTTGATTCTCGTCAGTGATCCTGCTTAGTCCCATTCCTGAGGTCTGGCTAGTAGCAATGTCAGGGTTTCTATATTTTGAAGGGGGAGGGAGAAGGAGAGCGAGAGAGAGAGAGAGAGGGGGGGGGAAGGAAAAGAAGGGGGGGGCAAGGGCCAGGCTGTCTATGAGAACCAGACCTTTCTGGTTACATCCCATCAACACCAGTGGCTCATGAGAAGTTCTTCAGTTATTCCCATGGAAAGCACAGGTAACAGTATATTAAGACCTGATAAGCTCTTTCAAGGCCATTTGTTTTGTGCTAAGCATTTTATACATTTTTCTTGCACAACAGCCCAGGAAGACAGGTCTGACGATGACCTTCGTTTTCCAGATGAAGAAGTTGAGGTTTAGGAGACATGGAGGCTCTTTACCCCCTCTGCTAGGGGAATATTTGAGATGGAGTAAGGGTGTGTAGACGGGGCCGTGGAAGGTCCCATTTAATAACTTGCTAAGCAGGCTCAGTTGAGGGAGGGCCTTGGAGGGTCCTAGGACTGTGGAAAACTGGTAAGAATTTTGCTTATGGTAAGTTAAAATGTTGAAAATGAGATTATGCAGGAAGATCTGCCCTTCCTTATCTTTTCCTTCCCTTCCCTTCCCTTCTTTTCCCTTCCCTTCCTTCCTTTTTCCTTCCTTCCTCTCTCCCACCCTCCCTTCTTTGCCTCCTACATCCTTTTCCTTTCCTCTTGCTCACCCCTTCCTCCTCTTCTTGCTCTTTTTTGACAGAGTCAAAAGAGCTAGAGTTAGGCGAACCTAACTCTCGCTTGTGTTTTAAGTGCTGCAGTGACAGGCACACCTCACCATGCCTAGTACCCATTTATCTTGTATTTGTCAGGGCAACTCATAAAGGGCCAGGACAGTAAGGAAGGGACCGGGTGGATGGGTGGAGAGAAGGAAGCACAATCCCAGATTTGACCTACTTCATCACTGTGTGCTGAGCGGGCAGCCTGGGTTAGTGAACTATTCTCACAGGACACTTGTGAGCACATTTGTGGGAAGCCATCATTGAACTCTTTCATAAATATTTTGAATTTCATAAGGCTTAATATTTTTCCAAGCACTGATCTGCCTACATTTTTTACACCCAAGTTTCCTGTAGAAGAAATTTAATCCACATATTTTAGAGTTCTTTACACTCTAGCCATCTACGATGATATTTAGCAATAGTTTGTGTTTATTTATTTTGTAACTCTTAATACTTCTCTTCAGTCTTTAAAAAAAGTAATCTTATTTTCCAATTTGGGAATCCACGTCTCTTGAGTTAAGTGGAATTGGGTATACTTAAATTTTAACTTAATATTATTTATCATCCTATGGCACTTTTTGATTTGTGAAGGACTTTATGCACATCTTTCAAGCTTAGTAAAAACAAACTTTGGATTTGTTTCCTTCTTTCCACGTAGCATTTGTTGAGCATGTGTAAGGGAAGATCTGTGTGTGGGAAGGTGGAGTCTCTTGAATGTGCCTTGTAAGCATAGTTGAAGATGGGTATAGTTTTTACTGAATGAAAATTTCAAGCGCTATGGAGAGAAGGACAATAGTGGTGGGGGTGTAGTGGTGGTTAAGTGAAGGAACCATATGAAATTGGAAATTAGCATCTTGCTAGTCAGACATAAAACAGATGTCTTCTCTCCTATTTGCAAGCTTTAAAACTTCCAGTGTAAAAAAAAACAACTTCCAGTGTGCATTCAAATTTTTCCTTTAAAATGGAGCCATCAACAACACTCTTGAAGAAGCATGGAGAAGCAAGTCATTTCATATAGCAAACTGTAGTGTTTAAGAGAGATTTGTAAGTTAAGTGTTGCAATGATTGTAAGCAAAGGAGAAGGCTCCATCTCAGCTGGGTCAAACAAGAAACCCAAGGAAACAAACAAAAACAACACCAGAAAACTGAAGCTAACACAACAACAAATACCAAATTAGCTCTATAGTGCTTTTCCTCTTGTGAGGACTGTAGTAATCAATATGGATTTTATATTTCACTAGCTGAAGCAGATCTCTTGGTCTTCCTAGGCTGACAGGGACTTGGGGTAGTTGATTCTGCCTTTAAAAAGCTCTCATTCTAAAGATCTTTCTGCAGTAGCTTTCTCCTTTTTATAAATTTTGTATAATTTCTGCCTTATGCCCAACCCGGGAAAGCTGCTGCCCCTCACAGCTGTGATTTCCAAACCGTGGACTTCAGATGTCTGAGGTAAAGGATGGGGCTAAGGAACTTAATTAAGAGTCTGTAAAATCCACTGGCTGCACTGTATTTGTGCTTACTAAATGCATCAAGCACGCTAGAGTAGCTGAACAGATATCTAATTCTCAATACCCTTAGGTTCACTCTCCTGGATTTCAATTACTTGTGAAAATTAGCTGTTGAAAAATCTCAAATCCAGCAATGACCAATACATAAAAGTTTAAATAAGTTCCACTATAGTATGCTATAATAATTCTATTTTATTATTATTGTCACCAATCAATTACTGTGCCTAATTTATAAATTGAACTTTATTCTAGGTATGGATGTAAGGAAGAAAATAGAAAGACATATGTGTAGAAAAGTGCAGGTGACTTACCTAGAATGGCAGTGCGCTGCCGTTAGCACCCACTGCGGGTGGATCAAGACGCCACCACAAACATGGTTGCCATCATACTGGATGGAAGCCATAAATGGCCTGGAATGAGGTCGCACTTGTCTTCCTCCAATAATCTCCATACTGAAACCTATAAAAATAAGCAGAAAGAATTCACATAAAAGATCCAAGCAGTTACATGTAATTCTTTTGATGATAATCACTAGATTATTTTCAAAGCAACCTACCAACTAGTTATTCCAATATTATTGACCAACAATTGTATAACATGTAGCAGTTGAGAGAGACAGAAATAATCATGAAAGTTCTGTTCATTATCAATATAACATATACTCACTAGAAATTCACTTAAGGTTGACATGTTGCAGGAATAGAAGATACTTACACTCTGGAGTAATATAAGCCCCAGCTATTAGGACAAACAAAAAGGAAGAAAACATAGTCATTTTTATGACTTAGAATTAAGAAATCCAGATGAACTAGTTTGGTTCAACTAATGAGGAAGAAGATTATGAAGGCAGTTTTATTCTTGCAAGTTTTAACTTTCTCACCTCAATCACTCTAATGGTAAGATTTTTCACACCCAAGTTTTCAAAGTATATATCAGTTTGGGGGGAGTTTCTGTGCTGTTAATGGTGTTTTGTTTCATTTTGGTAGGGGTATATGTGCAATGAAGAACTCATTGCTGGAAGCAACCATCTCAGATATCTGTATGAATGAATACTCAGTGGACAAAAAATTTAAAAAAATATCCAAGCCATAAGAACTCCATAAGGTTGCAGCAGAGTTCAAAGATGCTCATTGCTCTGAAGCAGCTTTCCTGGCACAACATGATATTGATTGTGTTTAATTCCTGTTTTTCATTTGGGCATATCTTTCATTTTTGATGGAGATACACATGAAAGCCTTGAACAAATCATGATTCCTTTACATAGCTTAGCTAACGCCTGAGCACTAATAGAGAAACCCAGATCATATGTTTTTAAAAAAAATTATACATTTTTCCTAATTCATCTGTGGTTTGTCGTAAGAGGTCAGATGTGGGATTTGCTTTTTTTCTTTTTTTTTAGCATATATTATACAAAATAATGTATAGCTGTATGTTTGGTAGCAAATGTATTCCTAGTCTTCCATTTCCTCTAAATGTGACCAAATTTGGTCATAATTAGTTACATTTGGAGAGATTTAATAATAATATCAAAGGAGAATATTGACAACATAATTTTGATTCAGTCTCTCTTTTTCTCATTTTAAGTTGTGTTTATCCTGGGACTTCAATAATATCTTTCATTGTTCTTCATCGTTCTTCCCAGAATCATGTGACACCAATGCGTTGGGAGGTCTTCTACTGTCTTTGGTGACAAAAGGCAGTATACTTAGAGTCATCCAAGATCCGTGAATACGGTACTGATCCACAATGTAAACATCACACAGTAAAGACAAATAGATAGCTCAGGCGTTAAAACCCCAACACTTTCTAGAATCACTGACCAAAATTTGCATTGAATTGACAGAGCTTTAACCCCCTAATACATACACAATGTCTCTTTAATTTTAAATTTTTAAATAAACAGGAATTAAAATCCAAAGCTATTATGTTTGGCAGGTGGCAAGAGATTCTGGCCAAATTGTTTTTTGCTTAGACAAGAAAGTAGGAATAAATAATATGGCACATTCTACATTATAATTTAATAAGATATAAGTAAAATATCTTAATATGATCGTTAATACTGATGTGAGGAGGGCAGGACAACTATTATATTTATGTTACAACTGGAGAAATCAGTTTAAAGAGGTTAATTTGCCCAAAGGCCACCCAGCAACTGAGCTGGACCAAATCCCTTGCCTGACCTACAGTAACTTACATCTTAATCATAATACTGGCAGAGCACAGAATTTGATAAACAGTCAGTTTCCATGTTATAGTGATGCAGCAGCAGCAAAGATTTCTAAATAAACAAAGCATACATAACAGTAACTTCTGCCAGAGAGAGTAAAAGATGAGACAGAGAGGAAACACGAGTGAGAAAAGCCACAGACTTGATAAACCAAACTTGTTAGTCACCTCCCCCCCACCCCCCGAAATGTTCCTGTAAACTTTCCCAGCCAGTCACTACTGTGCCTCTGATCCTTTGTGTGCCACACTACTCCATGTTGTCAGGGGGCATGAGAATGCCAGTCCCCTGTCATATGCCAGTGGTGTTGGGAACATAAGAAAGATGGTGCGTGACATATAGAAGACACCTGAATGGAAAGTATAAGGAAAAAAATAAACTCTACTAGACAGCTTTATGGTGGGGGTGTGCTGAAGGACAACTCTGAGCTGCTTATTTCTCTGTAGTAAGGACTAAAGCTGCATAGCTTTCTCCAGGTGCTAATCATTTCCAATCATATTTTCAAGAAGGGGCTGCCATTCGTCTTAAGAATGAAGAATCTGAAGCTCAGACGCTGACTTGAGATTACCCAGCTGGCAGGGGCTCCTCAAAACCTATATGCTGGCTCCAGGCCTCATGTTCATGTGAACCTGCCCTTCTTTGAGTAGCCCCTGGGGCTTACATGTTCCAGTAGGCAAGCTGGCCTCCCAGGAGACAAAGAGGATTTAGCTTTGCAGACTGCAATTAGACGTGAGTGAGATTTAGTACCATTGAGAAGACATCTCATAACTCTTTCTTGTAGCTGGTCTGGAAAATTCTGAGAATTGTGTGGGTTTATAGTAATGAGTTAGTTCGTTTTGGCTTTAGGCCGAGAAGCTAGTTAATAGTATCATTTGTTATCATACTTTGGATCCTGGATTTGAAGACACTGGGCTGTGTAACATGATGAGCATGGCGATCTAATTTATTTCTGGGTGTTGGTTTCTGCTCTGTTGAGTCTGCTGTAGGGAAAGCCATGTTTGCTTTGGAGGGCGTTCGCAGCAGCTGTGTGGCTGTGCTGGGCTGAGGAAGTAAAAGGCAGTGCTCAACGTGGAAATGGCTTCACACATCTAGGCGTTTCTTTTGTTGCTTGTGTGTTTCTGTTCCTGTTAGCTCCTCTTGAAATCCTCCTAGAGAACAGCTGTCCCGAAGAATCCAAGACCCCTCTGGGGCTATGTCCTCAAAGTGGGGCCTGCAAACTTGTACAGTATTTCACCTGCTTATTATTGACTACTGACAAATGAAATTGTTTAAAAAAACTGCTCCAACCATTTAACATGACTAATTTTATCAACGAAGCATAATTTATTCAATCTAATAAAAAGTTGGGCATGTAATTTATATGCCTTTGCTATCTAATTCATCATTCTATTTATGTGTGTTGCATTATATATCAGTCCATGATGAACTGAAACTAAAAACAAGGTTAGTAAGCAACTCCTAAGACATGGTCTCAGAAGAACTGATCAGTAGGCCCAACTGTGAAGTAACTTAGTTTTATCTTTCTCATTAATTCTCTTTCAGCCTCTTTTGAAAACATTTCTTACCACTAAGGAATCAGAGGGTGTCCTTTCCCCAGCCCCAGACACTTTTGGGGAAGTGGCTTTTGGAGGTGAAGATTTGGCAGCTGTCCTCATAGTTCACTATGCTGCGTCTTCATTGCCGTCCAGTGATAGTTCAGCTAAGTTACCCACAGAATCTGCTCACCATGTAGAAACTAAGGCAGCTTTGACAGTTGGAGTTGGAGAAGAGCTAGGATGCTATATGATGATTATCATGTCCAAAGTTCCCACTGCTGGTTATAACTATCCTTCTCATGAGGCCCTTAAAATGAATGAGCTTAAGTGCAATTGCAAAAGAAAACAAAGTATTCTCCACTCACAGCTGGGGTTTAGACCTTAACTCACTGCTGAGAAACGGAGAAAGCTGGATTAGGGCATGTGGAACTCTGCCTTTCCCTGAGCCTATGAAATTCAAATACTTCAGAGAACTGCTTTATGACCTCACCTTGGGATGGTAATGGTGATGAAAATTGAGTAAAACAAAATTCATTTTATCCTCTTCCACCTCAGCTTTTAACCAGAACACATTTTTATATTATCTTTCTTAATAATTAATGAAGAAGAAAATTAATTAGTTGTGTTCCTTATCAAATAGGGAGGTATTTCCTGATTATTATTGAGCTAAGTAACATATGAGCAGTTTAACCTCTTCCTCCTTCTTTAGCCTTCTCTAAGTCATATAACTATGAAGTAACTTCATTGCTTTATATACTTGACAAGTAGTAACTGCAGGAAAGCATCTCTAGGATCTGGCAAATGGGAATCTGAGTAAGCCTGGAGCTGCCTGACTGGTCACAATGTCCCCATCTCAACTTTTTCTCTACTCCCTAGTTGCTCTTTTATTTATTTATTTTGGGTCTGGTCGTGGGACTTGAACTCTGGGCCTGGGCACTGTCCCTCAGCTCTTCAGTTCAAGGCTAGCGCTCTACCACTTGAGTCACAGCGCCACTTCCGGTTTTTTTTTTTGCTTATGTGGTGCTGAGGAATCGAACCCAGGGCCTCAGGCATGCAAGACAAACACTCTACCACTGAGCCAACTTCCCAGCCCTCCCTAATTGCTCTTTTTCTCTTCTTTTTTCTTTTCTTTTCGTCAGTCATGAGGCTTGAACTCTGGGCCTGGGTGCTACCTGAGCTCTTTAGCTCAAGGTGAGCACTCTACCACTTGAGCCACAGCACCACTTCTGGCTCTCTGGTGGTTAATTGGAAACAAGAGTTTCATGGACTTTCCTGCCCAGGCTGGCTTTGAACTGTGATCCTCACAGCTCAGCCTCCTGAGTAGCTAGGGTTATAGGTGTGAGCCACCTGCACCCAGCTGCTCTTTCTTTTTAACACCTCTTCTTCTTCTATTCTCCTCAGGGTGGCCTTCAATCTTCACTTTAAGAGCCAAAGTATTATAGGAAGAATGGAGAAAGTCCCACATAGGGAAGTCCCTGTGGTATCACTAGGCCCACACTCTCTGCAATGTTTGTCTTAAGAGATTTACATATGTTAGAATCCATTCAGCAAAGATGACTTCCAAAGGAAGCTCTTCAGTTCAGACTTGTTGAGTTATTGACCTTACAGAGAGAAAAGTAAGGATGATGTGAGCCAGCTAGCGCTTTGGAGAGAGAGCTGGGGGGAATATGATGGCCAAGATAGCGGGAAAGAAGAGAAGATGGAAGCAGGAAGGTAAGGAAACAAAGAAATATTGTTGAGGAAAGAAGGAAATGAGTTGAGATTGGGAGACCTTTCAATGGACCACTTCTGTTTCTATATGAACATCTCAGACATTAGGATATGTCCCATGGCAAATGATATCCTCTCTCCATAGCAGAAAACAAATGGTTAGAGGATGCTAAATGTGCTAAAGCAGTTGAATTGCTTAAACTGATTATCTTGGTTTTATAAGAAAAAAATCACTGCAGGCAAAATAGTAGGAAATTTGAATGAAATAATCTGTTTACCAATGAGATAACACAGCGATTGCTATTGGCATACTAGAAGTTAATGAGTTTTATTTATTAATTCAGTAATCCATAATTTTTTCACTGAGTTTGAGTTAAAGTAGAAAATGACATATAATTTTATGTTGGTTACTTTTTACATCAATGTGACTAAATACCTGAGAAAAACAACGAAGAAGGCAGGAAGAATCCCTTTTGGTCAAAACATCCTTGCAGCCGGAGTGTGTGGTGAAGGGGTTTCTTTATCTCATGGTGGACAGGAAGCAAAGAATAAGACTATAAAAAGGAACAGAGCATAACCTTCAAAGGCACACCACCTGTGAACTACTTTCTTCAATGAGGCCCTACCTCCACAAGTTTCCAGAACCTTCCAATTAGCACTGTTAATGGAGAACCAAGGATTCAATGCAAAAACCTGTGGGGACATTTCATGGTCAGACCATAACAAGTTTTTTTTTTCTTTTTGAGTTAGTGTACATTTGTAATATTAGGGGGTTTCATTGTGAAATGATCACTCACATATCCAATGTGCTTGGGAGAAATTCACTTCTTTTGGTCTTATTCC